ATAGAAAAGTTAAAAGAAAATCGTATAAAATAATAACTCCCAATTATTTAGCAACTAAAAGATATAGGACTTACCTTGCAAAATATTTCATTAAGGACAGTATAGTACTTCAACAAAGAGAATTTTATATTATTTAAAGCCTTTGTGAGTACAGGTCAAACCCCTCCGTCAGAAATTTTCGGGTATTCTAGCACTGTCGTTGTTATTTGTTGGTCAGCACAGAAATCTATATTTCTCAACCTTCGAAGATGACAGAGGTGGCGAGCTTGGTGGTGTAAGAGGTCATAGGGTGTCGCATCCAGGATGTCGACCAGCCAATCGTTGACTACATCAACAATGTCCTCGCCGACGAGGACTTCGATTTCGGTGTCGACGGCGAGGGAGCCTTTGAAGCTCTAGGCGAACTCCTTGTCGACTCCGAATGCCGTTCAGTACGTATTGATTGAAGAGATCTTCCATTTGTTCAATGGCACTCCTACTTGCATTTTAAATTAGATTGCTTTGGTTTCGGAATTTGCTTGCAATTGGAATTTATCAATCAATTTCCTGATTTTAGGGTTCTAAAAGACGTTTATTCGTGAAATGAAAATTCTAATTGAAAGCTTTATTGAGGTAAAGATTTTTAAACTATTAAATTTCTTCTTATTTTTCAGTTTTGCCGTTATAGTGGTGAACTTTAGCAACTCTTTATTTATTAGTCAGCGTAATTGTAGCGAAACAAAGTAAAAAGAAGAATAAGACACGATCTAATATCAGAAAACTTATTATTTCATTCTTTATTACTATTGCTGGTGAAATATTTATTTCGATTTTATAGTTTATAATGTCTTCAAACCTATTTGTTAAATTTGCTCAGGTGGATATTGTAGAAAGATTAACACAATTGAATTAAAGAGGTGGTGGCTTAATTATTTCTCGTTATATTTGATGTGGAATATAATATTTTCTGCAAAATTCATGACAGGTGTGTAGTAAAATCTCAGAAAAATTTGGGAAGCATGGGTTGGTGAAAGCAAAACCAACAGTAAGAAGTCTTTTGGCACCATTGAGAATGTATGATGGAATGGATGAAGAAGAAGCTCCAAAAAAGAAGCCAGAGCCAGTGGATGGTCCTCTATTGACCGAGGGTGACAAGATGAAGCTTGAAAGGAGGAAGAGGAAAGACGATCGCCGGAGAGAGGTAAGAGAAAAAAGAATCTATTTTTTTATTAGTATGTGAGTTTAATAGTGTCATGATCAAATATGGCTGCAACATTTACATGCTTTCCTAATGATAGTTTTTATGTTAAATATGGTGTAGGTAATACAAAAGATAATATTCAAAATAGGAATTGACCTAAACATCTTTTAGTTATACCCACTTTTTTAATGTCCTAATTCATACTATGCCTATGCAAGTCCCTCTCTTTGTTGGAACAAGGTGTCTCAAGTAATAACAATAATAGGATCTTTTTACATATATGTATATTGTTTATTTATATATATAGTTGTTCTGTACTTCTGTTAATGCCTTTTTACTTTCTTTATTTTGTTGCATTTCTTTCTCTGTTTTTGAGTGTGGGTGGGCCAAGGATGTTTTGATTGTGGGGTTGGGACGAGGGATTGAAGGAATTGTTGACACCAGGGATTGGTCCCATTTTTGTATGGTTTCTTACTAGTTCTTGTATGATTGTACAACACAATACCAAATCCACTTAGAGGAGATGGAGGCAATCAAAGCTGGAATACCTTCTGTACTTGTAAATCATGACAGTAGTGATGGACCGGCTGTTAGAGATATTCACATGGAGAATTTTAATATATCAGTTGGGGGGCGTGATCTAATTGTCGATGGTTGCGTGACTTTATCTTATGGAAGGCACTATGGTTGGTTTAATTTTTACTTTAGCAATGATCTAAAAGTTCACCTTGGCTTGTGGGTCTACACACAAACATCCACACATATTGATACTATTTCCCCCCCCCCCCTTCTTTGAACCCTTTTCTTGCCCATCCATTTATATTCTGTGTATTATTACGTAGACGGATCGTTGATATATGTGATGCTTATTTGCTTTTTAATTGTAGCAAAAATTTATATTTAGAGCCTTTTTGAGCCCTATTTTGCTATTAAAATGCATTTTGGAATATTATTTTGATGAAAAATATGTGGTTAAAAAAAGGAAAAATTTTGGGTTTGCGTGTATATTATTTTATTGAANTTTGCTGTAATATTATTTTATTGAAGAATGTGTGGTTGAAAATAAGAGAGAAAAATGTATTTTGGAAACAATAGGAACCAAACAAGGGCTTATATTTATATTTACATTGACATTAGACAGACTTCGTATACTTCTCATTACACTTGACTTGCAAATTTTTAAGCAAGTACTTGTCATGGAAGCAAGTTTATTGGTTAAAATATACGACAAAAAGAAGCTAAACTTATTCCTAATAAATTTTGGGGTTAGATATAATGAACATAAAAAGTTTTCAACTATATTACACTGATAAATATTAATTGACATACAAAGTTGTGGGATATTACAATTAAAATTCTTTAAGAGTCACTGATTGTTCTCTGCTTGAATGCCTTGTTGGGAAGGAATGGTACAGGTAAAACAACCTTTCTCAGGTACATGGCCTTGCATGCCA